TCACACCTTGACCTTCTTGCCGTACTCCCAAGGGTTGTTGAGCATGGTGCTGCCCGTCTTGCCCCACAGCCCTGGAGGTCGGCGGCGACCGCGCAGGCGGAGACCCGCCCCCTTCTTCATGTTGAGGATGTTTTCGGGCGTAGGTCGGATGCGCCCGCCATTGTAAATCTTCGGGATGGGGATGGTGGTGCCCTCGAACCAGCGGATGTGCCTCTGCCTTACACCCTCAGGCCCCAAGAAGTTGTAGAGCAAGAAATCCTCGCAAACGTTGATGCCAATCTCGTTTGAATCACAAACGTCGTTGTACCTGCCAATCAGCTCCTCGCGGTCCCATTCCAAATGGGAGGGAACGTCGACCTCGCCCTCTTCGTCCTGATGCTTGTTGGCGAGACCGATGGACCTCTTCTTCGGGCGAACGCGGATCTCGTCGCCCAGCATCAGGAGTGTCGCTGGCACATTCGTCGTCACCCAGTCTGGTGGCTGATAATCGCTGTCCTTCGGGGCGTGGCGGATCTGGATGTGGTTCTCTCGGACCATCCAGCGGGCAGCTGCCATGGTTGGTGCCAGGCCCACTCGCCAGAGGAAGTTGTCGATGCGGCTCTCCAGGATTTGCATAAGATGATCGATGGGGTGCTTTCGGCCCTCCTTGAAGGCACGCAAGACATACTTGGTCAACTGATGGATGTTGATGTTGTAGTGGCAGGCGACGCGTGACCTCTCTATCCAGTAGCGACCCTTCATGGACAACTTCTTCGTGGGGCGCTTTCGCCACGGCTGCTTGAGTCTCTTTCGCAGAAGAGGCTTGCGCGACCAGGCGGGCATCTCTCCGAATGGCTCAAAGCGGCGCATGGTCTTTTGTCTGCTGCGCGCCCGAGTTGGGAACATTCGGACGACGACCTTCTCAGCACGCTGCCGAGAGCGTCTATCCGCAGACACAGCAACCAAAGCACAAAGTGCTGCTGCAGAGGCGCGGCCAAGCATGCTGAAGCTGGCTGACTCAGAGCTCGGCTGCAGTGAGGGGCGTGCGTCTGCCTGCATCACCACTTGCCTGTCACTCCGCACGAAGCCTTGAGGTCTGGCCCCTGACTGCGGGCCCAAGAACGTCGGCTGAAGGAGACATCCTGCTACTATTGTTGCTGCGCAGGCCAGGCAAAGCCTGGGCCACGCTTTTCTCATTGCGCTAAGGGGCTATGTGCAGTCCCTTCGTGCTCGTCTGCAAGCAGCCAGAACAGCAGCATGGGAAACAACAAGTCATGCACGAACAAGTTGACACAAGTTCATGATTGGGTTGGTGAACACACGACTTCCTCTAAGCAATCCCCTGTGCACGGACAAGCAGGCAAGAAGAACAAGGTAAAACCAGTTTTTGGCTTCACGACCAAGAAGTGCATGCTCTGTGGCACTACTGCCAAACATGCCAAGCTCACACCTTGACCTTCTTGCCGTACT